TATCCCACCTATGGTGGGGCGTCCCACTTGCGATGGGACGTCCCGCTGAATAGGATGGGACATCCCACCGCAGTGGGACACCATGGTAATCTGCGTGGGATGTCCCATCGCCTTGGGATATCCCAGGGTGATTTGCATGGGACATCCCACCACCACGGGATATCCCATGGCGATTTCGATGGGACATCCCATCGCAATGGGATGTCCCATCTTTTTCAGAAGTTCGGCAAAAGCCCCGGCCTAAGCCGAAGCCGGGCCCAAGCCAAGCCGGTCCTGGTGGGGGCGGCCTGGCCTGGGATTTTGCAAAGCCTAAGCCCCCAAAGCCGGGCCGAAGCCTCGGCTTTCAGGCCGAGCCCTGGCCGGAACATCACTAAAATTAAATAATAATAATACTGTGGATTTGAGTGAACATGAAGGACATCTCAGCACGGTCTGCTTGCTGTGAGATCAATGAAGTCAAAGATGAATGGAGTGATTGCAAGTGAGAGGTGAGTAGATGGAATGGGCTGAATGGCATGTAAATTTCACAAAAGTGTAGTGCAGTGTGATGTGCTGTGGTATGTACCCCATTGTTTTCAACAGGCCTCGGCTGGTGCAAAGAACAGCCCACGACCAGAGCCTGCATTACGGTAAAGAATTGTCTTTTGCGCGGAACCTGGTCCTGAGAGAGACAGACCTTTCAAATGGTTGTCCATACCGAGGATCATTCATGAGCCTATGGTTGAGGGAAGTGGTTTTTTTTCTTCCGCGCTTCGTGCGGAACTATGCCCACAGATAGCCTGGCCAAAAAAGCTACATGTAACACCAAAAATGATTCAAAACAATGCAGATTTGGGTGCAATAATGCATTTTTTTTCGGGCGCCTGCGGCGCGCGGTATGTCCCACCAGTGTCAGTGGGAAGTCCCACCAACACCAGCGGGGACGTCCCACAGTGGTCACTCCAGACCCATGGGATGTCCCATGTCCCAGGGACACACTCAAGAAACCCCCCCCTTAGGCCTATCATTCGCCATGAACAATTAGGCCTAAGGGGGCCAAGTCGGGTAGCCTGAGGTGGTCTGACGGGGGCTGGCCACTTTTTGTTCACTCTACATGTTTGAGCGTTAATAGACGGCTGACGATGGAATATTGTCAAACTACACTCACGCAAAGGCTTGCCCTTGACCTGGAACATCGGTTGCGTCAACCGGACTGTCTCTTGTCCATTATCGTCCACGCCGAAGAAATGGACGGAGTCATCGCAAACACCATGTTCGATGTTGTGTAGGTTTTCGATGCTGCTATCCCACGCCGAGGCATACACAGGGTGAGCTAAGAATTATATGTTAGTGGTGGACGTGCCTTATTAAATCACGGGGCTCACCGGGGCGTTCCAGCAGAGCCACGTACTTCGCTTTTGCGGCAAGCCCGTTAAAGTGGGGTTTGAAGTTTCCTCCAGGGCCAACAGCAAGATTGTGTCGAGATATAGTCCCTATCACACTGAGACTTGCGATAGCCTCTCGCGGCGTGTTGTTGGTGACTGGAGCGCCCGAAGGGCGCTCGTAAAGGGCCTGGCCACCCCAACTGTTTTCTTTTCTCCATTCGAAAAACTCAGTCAAGTATGGTGAAGCGGCAAATCCAGGAGTTGCCACCAGCGCGCGCAGTGTATGCAGCGGCCCAGCGTACGCGGGATCGGCGAGGACCGCTTGCGGAAGAGATAAAGCCATTTTGGAAGGAGCGCAATGCGACGGTGTTAGGGTGTGAGTGGGACGAGAAAGATGAAGGGTGAATACCCTGTCCTGCATTTTTTAAAGACTTTGTCGAAGTACAGCATTCTCAGGGCGCCGTTGTAATTGTAACGCGCAAGCTTCGGCCGAAGGTTTTTCCTAGTGAGCGAAACATGGAATGTACGGACGCCCTATCAAATATTGCCGAGGTGCACCTTACGGGGACGAAAACATTCTGATATTGGCCAGATCCCTGTTTTAGCGAGGTTGCACGAGGTTCCCATGTTAGCAAAAAGGCGTCACTCAGCGCGTATTTTTTTCCTCCGTAGTAGAAACCGCTCGTCTGGTCGGACGACCGATCGGATCTCCACACTGTGCACCTTACGGGGGAAGAGGAAAACCCTGAGCTGGCGAGATCCCCCGCTTAGCGAGTTGCACTATTAGAAATTGTGTTAGCTCACCGCTTAACAGCAAATGGACTTCTAGAAATTACAAATGAAACGAGACGCTCATCACCGGTACTCGCATCACATGGTTCCGGTACGTCCGTGATATTAGTTGTTGCGACGATTCGCTGCAGCGAAGGAGTTTTCAGCGCTCGTCCGAGCGGTTTTTGTTTCTGTCGTTCAATGTCTTTGTGTACGGCGTTAGCACGCAGAGAGAGAGTCAGTATGTGTCTCTGCAGAGGCAAGGGATAACTTCCCCCTGCAAAGGCATCAGTGCTCCAGTTCGTTCTGAAAATAGCTATCGTCCTTACCCCTTTTAGCAAATGTGTTTCCCAATTCGTCTACAACCGAGTAGATGTTGATTAGACTCCATCGGCTCGTCAGCTACGTGAGCGGTTGGTCCGTTGTTGGGCCTATTATTGAGGAGTGTGTGTAGTTTTTCTGTATGCGGTTACTGGCCAGTTTAAGCGGTTCAACGGCAATTTGGGGCATCGAGATATTAAACGTGTGTAGTTTTCCTGCATGCGGTTACTGGCCACTTTAAGCGGTTCGTCGCCAATTTGGGGCATCGAGATATTACTGCGTGTGTAGTTTTTCTAGATGCGGTTACTGGCCAGTTTAAGCGGTTTGTCGCCAATTTGGGGCATTTTTTTTCGGCCCTGCCATCGAGATATTACTGTGTTGCGAGTTTAGGCGGCTCATCGTGCAACTGAGGCTGAATTGAGACTGAACTTCAGCTTACCTGATTGAGATACTGAAGCGGTAGCGTATCACTTCCTATTATGGTAGTGAGGCCGGGGAGTGAGCTTGGGTATTACTGCGCTACCATTTTAGGCGATTCATCGTCAAACCGAGACAGAACTTCAGCTCACCCGAATGAGATACCGTAGCGGTAGCGTATCACTTCTTATTATGGTAGTGAGTTTTGGGTATGTAAGTTTGGGTAAGTGTTTGTTTGTGGAACGCTTTGTGGCGGACTTTGCGGAGCGGTGCTTCTGGATTGCTATAAACCTAAACGGCGACGTTAACTAGCAGTTTTACCACCCGAGTACTGTTGTTGAGTCTAGTGATGAACGCCTCCCGGGCTCGACTCTACCAAACAACCCTTGAGCAATTCTATACCAGGAATCCTTGGGGCAGCGTGGACCAGCCAGTGAATCCGTTATCAGTACCACCTCCTCGTCACAACGGCGCACGAGGAGGACTTTTCGCGCTGGGTGCAGGCCAAGCATCTGCACCTATTGACGTCGACGAGTGGACGGAAAGACGTTCCGCGTCGGGCGTGGTAGGCAGAGCATCTGCACCTATTGACGTCGACGAATGGTTCGCCGCAAGCCTGCAGACAGGTAAGTCGATACCATATCGATGTACGGCTGATGGACTTGAATGGCAGTCAATGAAGGCAGTGGAGGTTCCATAGGCCCACCAGGAGCTATTTGTGCTGCTGCAAGCCCTAACGTCCGCAATATCGAAGAAATCAGAGAGTTTTTTGTGTGTGCCATCTGCCAAGACACCTATATGCGTCCCGTAGTGTTTGTATTCCAACATTATCCGGATTCAGACCAGGCCGTTAATGACCTCCCTATTAGCACGCTCTGCATGCACGTTTTCTGCGACGCATGCATTAGTCGCAGTCTCGTGTACTCAACGTCCTGCCCATTATGTCGTTGCCCTGTGGTGGACGCGCCGATGCGAGACCGCTTGTTCGAGAGTGAGCTGAAGGCCGCCATCGAGGATGGTATCGTCAAGAAGTCCGGGCGGTGGGAAGAAGGACGCCGTACACGTGGAACATGTCACTTTCGTAATTAATATTGTTCATGCAGTGTAACATTGTGGGTCCAAAGTTCAACAAACTCGTCTAAACGCGCGTTCCCGGTGTCGTTTCGTTAAGTGCGCTCGGGTGTTCTTCCATCAGCGTGCTGGGGGGTTCCTCCATCGGCAATTATGGCCCAGACACTGGAGTGTTCGTCAGTATACGCAGTCTAAAAGGGAGACAATAAGAGCGCTTACAGTGTCAGTAGGTTCACAAGTCGTGGAGCGTCCTCGTCGATCTGCCCATCCATTTACTTCAGATCACCCGTACATTGCCGTGGATTGCACGACGCTCAGCAGCTGCGGCTGAGGCTGTTCTATGCTCGCAAGCCATAAGTAGCACCGACACCAAGAAACTTGTCGTCAGCGCTGCGCAAGATCTAGGGTCTCAGCGATTTCTAGCGTAGTGGGTGATCTTCCCATCCGCCCTAGCAACAGCAGTACATTGTCGTGGACCACTCAGCGACTGTGGCTGAACCGATTCTATGCGCGGAAGCCATGAAGACCAAGCAAGTCGTCCGTGAGCGCTGCGCAAAATCTGTAGCCCAAGTGCGGGCGGCCAGCATTTGTGCAAAGAGGTTCCAATAATCTGATTCAGCAATCCAGTTCGTCCAAAGCTATACTGTTCAGAACCATGATCTAACGGGCGCGCGACATAAAGTTGCGGAAACAGGCCTTGGTAGGTGCGAGCAAGTGGCTGATAAACAATGTCAGTCCGGTAGGGGCCCTCTTTACCTGGCAGCCCCTATTGCGAGCGCAGTGCGGAAAAGCCGATGAGCAATCAGCGTCCTTGCATGCACACCATATCGACTTCGGCGAAGGCACACCATGATCCAAGAAAGCCATGGTAGGTAGACGCCGTGCATTTTTCTACAGTCGTCCTATTAAGGTTGTCGTTTGGTACCGAATGTTCTTCGTATACGATAAATACGATAAATAAATGACATGATAGATGGTATGTCATGTCCTTGATTGGGAGACGGTGATACGGTGTTACGCTCAGGCTACCATGCAATGAAGTCCCTATGTGACAATGGTTCTGTGAGCTAGTGGTTAAGAACTTGCCTGGTAATTGTGAGCATAGGTGGCGAGTATGTTGGTTCGAATCCAGCTAGAACCGTCATAGGGATCCTATGATTTTTTTGTTGAATCTTTTTTTTTGTAGACCGAAAACCTTTTGTTGTTACAACGTCGTCGCTTTTGTATGTTATTTTGTATACTTTGGCATTCAAGAGTTCTTTGCAGGTTGTATTCCCAGACATTCCTATTTGTATGACATGCGTTCTGCGAGAGTATACTAATAGTATAAGACGGGCGCCACAGGATATTTAGGTACGAACAAAATACGGCGAGTTTGGGCACAACGGGTTGAGGCAGCGACCACCCAAAGTGAAGGTGAGTCGTGTATGGCCAATGTCGGTCAACGCACTGTCAGTGTCTTCATCTCTACCATCCATCCCACCCCACTTGATGTGAGCGAAGCCCTTTAAGCCCTTAGCGGCCCTCCAAATCGCGGGGCAAGAGTACCCGCACGGCTTCCCCCACCCGGCGGTAGAATCGTCCAATGTCGTCATGTCTGGGAAAGGAGGAACCAATCGATAAGTACGGTCGGGTTCAGGAAGATGCACGGCGGGATGGCTGCGAGACGTCGGCCTCCAACCGATGAGGTGGCGTTGTTCGGCGACGTTGTGTAAGACAGGCGTGATAACTTCGTGGACGCAATTGCAATCATTTGGTCTGTGTTTGGAGACATGAAGAATACAGGACCAAGTGTTGCACACCCGGCCGATGTTATGCTAATGTGTTTTCCCTGTTTTGCGATACATCAGCAGCTTTCATGAACTAGTAACGATGCTCACTTTGACTGAAGGATGTTTCATCCATACGACACGCCCAGCATTGGTATATGCCCCCGAGCTCCACTCGGCGCCAATGAGGATAAAACCCGCCTCTTTTTCAAAGAACTTCACCAGCATCGTCTGCTGTCGACTCGTTACGATTATGTTCATATTAGAGGGGCAGGGAGGGTCAGACAGCGTCGATGCGGTCGCCAACGCGACGGAACCGACGATCCAGCTTCGCGTGACGTGGAGAGCGAGGAAAAAGCGATGGACGATAGAGTAGTGTTGGCGGCCCTGGGCTGGACATCCGGGGGGAAGAAAGCACAAGTGTAACGGGTGACCCGACCTTGATGTAGCCCTTGACGTAGCTTTGGTGTTCTGATTCAGGTGCGAAAAATGCACGAGATCGAGAAGATTTAGAAGCGTAACATATAGAGTACCACGTCTCGTGTGGTCCAGAAGGCGCTCATCAGCGAGGCAGATGTAGTTCCGAGGTCGTAGCACTCGATCGCTCTGGGGGCATCAAGCGTTAGATTGGCTTGCACTTAGAACTCATCGCTGGGTTTTATAGAACGAAGGGGTTTATCATTGCATCAAACTGCTTCAAGATCTAGCGAGATACGGCATGGTTGAGTGAGCGTTGACGACTCCCTTTCTAAATACTCTGATGATGGCGTCAGCAGAATTCCATCCGGCGTTAGCAAATGGGACAAACGTAGAGATGACCCATTCCAACCCCGTACAACTTCTTCATCTTCGATGTTGATAATGTAACGAGCAGCCGATTTGCTGTGGGGAAGATAAGCACGTTTCCGCGCCAGGGTTTCTCCCAATTCGGGTACGAGCTTGTTAATCAAGTGATTTTCCGGATGGACGTTGGGGCCTTCAGTCTGCTGGGGCGCAACCACAATAGTATATGAGTGTGCGAGGTCTCGTGGCTCGTCAGAGGATACCGATTGATCTGGAAGCTACGGCCAGTGAGATCGGAAGTTGCTGAACTCGTCCCACGAGAGGCATCTATCCAGACGTCGTGTTGACATCGTCAATAGTGAGACCGCGACGCATTCCAGGGTGTAGAGGTACCCTGACCCAGACCCAATGAGTCATGGAACGACCGTCGGGGATAAGGATGGCTCTCTGGATTTGGAGTCTCCTGTGCAAGCGGGTCAATGTGGTACCGACAGCTTTTCATTCAAGAAGAACAAACCGTATTTGCAAGTTGAATTTGCTCCCGTGTCCACTGACGAATGCCCAGTGCATATCCGGTAGTTCTGTGGTGGCCGGGGCAGTGGTTTTCGCCAGGGTCTAGGAGGGAGCCGCCATTACTCGCCAAGTTTTTTTGTTTTGTTGGCGTATACTCACATGGTTCAGCTATTTATGGTTGGCGAACCGTCGTCAGATGAAACTGTGCCGTAGGCCGAAAGTGCGCGTGTTAGCGGTTCTCTTGTGCGGTGCTCTCGTAGTTGCACGATAGCGTCGTTACTTGGCTGAAGTGGACATACCCCAATTGTCAGGCGAGTGCGATGGTGCAGGGAACCGGAGCGTTTTACACTGTATAAGGCAAGTGGTGGCTGCTGTGTAGAAATGTATAAGCGTGTGGGAAGGTAGAAATGTATAAGCGTGGGGAACGAAGCATTAGTAACAGTGTGTCGTAATCGTTACAAAAGCTTCCTAATCGAGCAACGGCTGCGAGGCTTCCTAATCCAGCAACATTTCCTAATCAAGCGGTGCAACCTCCAGTCTGAATGGGTAAAAGATACAGTCTCGATGGGGTGAACCCAAAAGGGAGATAGCCAACTTCTGGGCATTGATTTACCCAGAAGGTATCGCACATCCAATATGGTATCTTAACACACGCTCGCTCCAAAAGTATTTTAACACACTCTCGCCCCAAAAGGTCTTTTAACACACGCGGGCGGCATATTGCTCGAGAGGCAATGCACTAAAACAAGCTAATATCCGTTGTATTTTCTGACACCGCTTTATCTGTCCTAATCGAGCGCTGTGTCCTGATTAGTAACGCAAGGCTCAAGCGTCGATGTCTAGGTGATTGGCCATGGCTAGCGCGCGGGCCCTGCGGCGGCGCATGCGCGTGCGTAGATGGTGAAGAGATTTGTAGACATTGTATTGCCTCCCTCGACAGTGGTGTATGGATCGACTAGAAGGGCTGCAATGGACATAAGTCATCCAGAAGGACAAGCCAGAAACCAAGCAACAAGGAACGTACACGTAGGGTTGTTTTGTAGTAACCACGGTAGCACATGCGAGTGCCTTTGCCCTAAAGATTGTATTTCGGCGTGAGGAGTTCCATACGCCCAAACTGTGAAGCGGACGGCGTAGTCTTGGCCTTGGCAGTGAAGTAGTAGATCATTCGGGAAATGCACGTAGTTCGCCGAAAGATGGATGTCGCTTTTGTTAAGGTCTTTGTGTTGCCGGTCTATATGCAAGTATCAATTTCCGAAAAGGGAAGACAGCCGATTGCGCTCTAGACAGCCGATCGCGCTTTCGTGTATAAATATAAGTACTAACTTTCCATGCCCATTTGCGCTATGTTCCCTATTTTCCGGAACACGTACCAACTCTCCTTAGGCCTGAATTCCAGGTGCCCAAGTTTTTGGCCCCCCACAATGGCCAAAGGAGTTGAAGTCCTTCGGCCAACTCTCTGCGTACTTGTTGAACAGGCCCACGGCAGCACTGGCTGATCACTTGTTCGGCGTCGACTTCCACCCTCCGTTGCAAAGTCATGAACGTGATGCCGACGAACCTGCCTACGACAAAGAGCGTTATGACGAATCCGTCTACACAACCGACGACTCAACAGTTCCATACCAATTCGTGCTCTTTGGAAAGGTCTGCACAATGCTGGTAAGTCTTGTCGACTGTATAAATATATCAGATGATGACTGCTCTCAAAAGTTGACTCGGAGTTCGCACAGTACCTTTGGTGTGGCAAGTGACGATCGCCTCCCGGACTGCCTTAAAAAAGCCTTTGCTTGCCAGATCGAGCAGCTAGCGCAGGCACCTGTGGAGGACGAAAGCTCGTTCCCAGTCAGTCGAGATCAGTCTATCCAGGTTAAATCTAACGATTTTATCAGGACACCCGCCTTGTATCCTGTATAGGCGTAGCACGCGACGCCATCTTCGTGCACACAGATCATCTGGGGCATATCCCTGCCCTCATCTATAGGGATGTCGACGGTACCGTGGTCCCAACGCGCACCAGTCCTGTCCACTTTCCTGCGGACGTTGGAGAGTGGGTCGTTATTCAGGCCACATTCCATCGTCGGCAGGACTCGGCAGGCGTGAGGAAGTATGAAGTTCTCGCGCGACACATCAGGGTCCTCGGGACTACCTCTGCATTGCTACGGGTGCCTTCTGATGAGTTTGTCATGGTACAGGGGGCTCAAGGGGCTCAAAGTGGTGAGCTTGGCGGAAGTGGTGTGCCTGGCGTTGCTGGCCGTACGTCTGTCGGCGCAGGGGAGGAAGGAGTAGTCGTCGCTGGGGAAGAGGAACAATCGGTTGTGGATCCAGATCCTATGTCGCCTTTCGCAATCACTGCTCCGGCCGAGCACACTCCGGACCCCACTACACCCAAGAAGCGAGCGAGAGAGAACGGCAGCCCTCCAGCAGCGATCAGACGGTCCCCGCGTATCGCTTCCAACGCGGCGGCGAAGGCTCAGGCGCCCAGGGCGCATCGGAGTTCCAACGACAGCAGTACTCCGTTCAACTTGAAGCGTGGGCGGCGTGGTAGAAAGCACGGCAACTGAGGTGTAACTAGACGTCGTTAACCAATACAAGAACTGGCGTGGTCTCGAGACGGCCGTATTGAGTGACGCTGAATCAAATGTGGCTGGACAGAGGTGTGACAATCTAACTTGGGAGTAGCTTCTGTGTCATCGCCCTGAGTAAGCCACGCACAAATATTCCTGGGACAGGTTGGAAGACTTGCCGTATAAGAGCGACGTTCACGCGTATGTATTTTGACAGTTTCTCTTAATTCTAGGTAATTTGGAGAGGCGAAGAAGTTTGCCGCACGTGCACGACTCTCTACTTGACCTCAGTTTTTTCCGTGGTTGAAATGCTCACGTGTTGATGTCACTGAGCGTCACAACAACTGCGTCGCGAACGTTTCCCTAACCCGACCTATGGCTCAGAGTGAACTCCTACGCCGTAGTAGACGCAGTGCGACGCGTCCACTTCGGTTCGCCGGTCTTCTCAGCGCGACGTCGTTATCGAAAGCACGGAGTGCTTTTATCGAAGTTTAGAAGTGCAGTTACTA